CTCACCAACGGCATGGACATTATATCCTATATCCTCTCTCTCACCAACGGCATGGACATTATGTCCTATATCCTCTCTCTCACCAACGGTATGGACATTATGTCCTATATCCTCTCTCACCAACGGTATGGACATTATGTCCTATATCCTCTCACCAACGGTATAGACATTATGTCCTATATCCTCTCACCAACGGCATTAACATTATGTCCTATATCCTCTCTCACCAACGGTATGGACATTATGTCCTATATCCTCTCACCAACGGTATAGACATTATGTCCTATATCCTCACACCAACGGCATTAACATTATGTCCTATATCCTCACACCAACGGCATTAACATTATGTCCTATATCCTCACACCAACGGCATTAACATTATGTCCTATATCCTCACACCAACGGCATTAACATTATGTCCTATATCCTCACACCAACGGCATTAACATTATGTCCTATATCCTCACACCAACGGCATTAACATTATGTCCTATATCCTCTCTCTCACCAACGGTATGGACATTATGTCCTATATCCTCTCTCACCAACGGTATGGACATTATGTCCTATATCCTCTCACCAACGGTATAGACATTATGTCCTATATCCTCTCACCAACGGCATTAACATTATGTCCTATATCTTCTCTCACCAACGGTATGGACATTATGCCCTATATCCTCTCACCAACGGTATGGACATTATGTCCTATATCCTCTCTCTCACCAACGGCATGGACATTATGTCCTATATCCTCTCTCTCACCAACGGCATGGACATTATATCCTATATCCTCTCTCTCACCAACGGCATGGACATTATGTCCTATATCCTCTCTCTCACCAACGGTATGGACATTATGTCCTATATCCTCTCTCACCAACGGTATGGACATTATGTCCTATATCCTCTCACCAACGGTATAGACATTATGTCCTATATCCTCTCACCAACGGCATTAACATTATGTCCTATATCCTCTCTCACCAACGGTATGGACATTATGTCCTATATCCTCTCACCAACGGTATAGACATTATGTCCTATATCCTCACACCAACGGCATTAACATTATGTCCTATATCCTCACACCAACGGCATTAACATTATGTCCTATATCCTCACACCAACGGCATTAACATTATGTCCTATATCCTCACACCAACGGCATTAACATTATGTCCTATATCCTCACACCAACGGCATTAACATTATGTCCTATATCCTCACACCAACGGCATTAACATTATGTCCTATATCTTCTCTCTCACCAACGGTATGAACATTGTGTCCTATTTCCTCTCACCAACGAGGCAAACTTTGGTGATGCAATTGTCTCCCATATCTTCTGATTGCCGAGGTCAACTTTGTTGATGTAATAGTGTCCAATATCTTCAGATTGGCGACGTCAACTTTGTAGGGAGAGAGTCGTCATGTCCCAATCACATAACTCGGCAGTGAGAGCGTCCCAGGCACAGTACACAAAGACAATCACAGACAATCACATGACTCGGCAGTGAGAGCGTCCCAGGCACAGTGCACAAGGACAATCACATGACTCGGCATTGAGAGCGTCCCTGACACAACACACATTGACAATCACATAAGTCGGCAGTGAGAGCGTCCCTGACACAACACACACTTACATACACAACACAGCCACATCTGGCTGATTTCTGACTGAATCTTGATTAGACATTCAGTGCAACAATAGATAGTGCAATGGTCAGCCTTCTCCACCTGAGGAAGTTCGCCCCTACTGGCCTTTTAAAATCGCTGTCCTCTTCTATGAGGATCAATGCTCTCTACAAACACCCCTGTCTCATGCGACCATGCTGACAGTACCTGCTCAACCACAGCTACAACACCCCTGTCTCATGCGACTTAGCTGACAGTACCTGCTCAACCACAGCTACAACACCCCTGTCTCATGCGACTTAGCTGACAGTACCTGCTCAACCACAGCTACAACACCCTTGTTTCATGTCACCATGCTGACAATACCTGCTCAACCACAGCTACAACACCCCTGTCTCATGCGACTTAGCTGACAATACCTGCTCAACCACAGCTACAACACAATTGCAAAGATCCGCTACACCGACTGTCGCTCGGGAGTAATTCCTCACCTGCGGAGACGGCACCAGAAAACTCCATTAACACTAAACTGACTAGCGGTATATTCAAAGAAACTTCTAAATATGCAGCAGACTATAGAGCTATCTAAACAGCGATTAATTACAGCCCAGGCACTAACAAAGTAAATATGAACAGCGAGCAATGAAACCGCAGACACTTACACAGTAAATTAGTAGTATTAGAAGTACATTTTACCCCACTATAACATCACACAAGCGATAAACACCCGATGACACAAAGTGCCACCATGTGGATGAGAATCACCCGTGCAGAGGTCCCAGAAACGGCGTTCAGCCGTTAGACCATATTTAAGGCTGGGCTATTGCGGCCCCTGGCAAGAGCCAGAGTGGGGCTTAAAATACGGGAAATCGCATCCAAAATAGGGATACGGTTTATTAAAAAGGAGTCGTTATCATTATACGCGGTTAGAGCTAACTAATATGGCTACAAAAGCTCTATTCTGTCTGACATAGAGTCGCCTAAACTCCGTCTGTGCTAACCTCGAAGTGCCTCATTTTTGTTCACTCAAAGTCAAACTCATTTAGACCTCTGTTCCCCGTCTCTTCTCAAATATTTGTTTGATTTGCCGTCGTCACTTAGAAGTTCGCTAGCGTCTGATCTATTCTCACTTTACTTGGATTACTTCCCTTGCACCCTAAGACTATGAGAGTGACGCCCCCCCCCCCCCCAACCTTCCGCCCTCCCCCGCCCCTTCCCCGTTTCGATAGGTCTGCGGAATCCACACATGAAAATGAGAAGGTTCTTGAAGACATAAAGACAGAGCCTGGACACGGCCGCCGCTGAAAAGGGTGTCCGTTGACTCCCAGCTGGGTGGTCACAGACATGAGGAGAAAAGAACATCAATGAGGAAGTATTTGAAAACGATTTAGAAAAGTCGTCCCCATCTGGGATGCCATTTTTCATGATTAGAAGCCCCACCCTGGCTTTTGTCGAGGCCCTGTATCTAGGCTTGTCATGATCAGAAGCCCCACCCTGGCTTTTGCTGAGGCCCTGTATCTAGGCTTGTCATGATCAGAAGCCCCACCCTGGCTTTTGCCGAGGCCCTGTATCTAGGCTTGTCATGATTAGAAGCCCCACCCTGGCTTTTGCTGAGGCCCTGTATATAGGCTTGTCATAAATATGGACTAACAGCTGAAAGGGGTTTCTGGGACCTTTCCACGGGTGATCCTCATTCGCATGGTGAAACTTTGTGTCGCTCGTTGTTTATCGCTTGTATGATGTTCTGGTGAGGTACAACAAGAGAGAGAGAGAGAGAGAACAATTGACCTATATTAAGATCAAATATTAGCGTTATGCACACAATTCTCTTCAAATTCCATAAGCTGATCCTTTTCTCTATTTATTTCATACACGGTTCAAAATCATAAACCATTTCACATACAATAAAGATGTCAATACAGTCTTCGGATTGGAACATCCATTGAACACGGATAGTTCATGATTGAAATGTGGGGAAAACCCGGCTTTTTAACAACGACACGCCATAGAAAGGGAACAATTTTAGACATTTTCCTATCGGTCGGTAAGGCTCAAAACAGGTTTGTAGTGAATGTTAGGCTCAAAACAGGTTTGTAGTGAATGTTAGGCTCAAAACAGGTTTGTAGTGAATGTTAGGCTCAAAACAGGTTTGTAGTGAATGTTAGGCTCAAAACAGGTTTGTAGTGAATGTTAGGCTCAAAACAGGTTTGTAGTGAATGTTAGGCTCAAAACAGGTTTGTAGTGACTGTTAGGCTCAAAACAGGTTTGTAGTGAATGTTAGGCTCAAAACAGGTTTGTAGTGAATGTTAGGCTCAAAACAGGTTTGTAGTGAATGTTAGGCTCAAAACAGGTTTGTAGTGAATGTTAGGCTTAAAACAGGTTTGTAGTGACTGTTAGGCTCAAAACAGGTTTGTAGTGAATGTTAAGCTCAAAACAGGTTTGTAGTGACTGTTAGGCTCAAAACAGGTTTGTAGTGAATGTTAGGCTCAAAACAGGTTTGTAGTGACTGTCAGGTTCAGCCTCTAGTAAACTATAACAGATAGAATACACGGAAGTGGGAGGAAGGGACGGACGGGAGAAGGAGGCGGGTGTAGTGGTGGTAGGTGGTGGTAGTAGTGGTGATGGTGGAGGAGAACGAGAACAGAAGAACGAGAACCAGATGACGAGGAAGATTAGCAGCAGCAGCAGTCGCAGCAGCAGCAACGGCAGCGGTGGTAGCAGGTGTGGTAGGTGGTGGTAGGGGTTGTAGGTGGTGGTAGTTGGTGGTAGGCGGTGGTAGATGGTGGTAGTGGTGGTAGGTGGTGGTAGTGGTGGTAGGTGGTACTAGTGGTGGTAGCAGGTGTGGTAGTGGTGGTAGGTGGTGGTAGTGGTGGTAGGTGGTGGTAGTGGTGGTAGGTGGTGGTAGTGATGGTAGTTGTGGTAGGTGGTGGTAGTGGTGGTAGGCGGTAGTAGTGGTGGTAGGTGGTGGTAGTGGTAGTAGTGGTGGTAGGTGGTGGGCGCTTTGCTAAAACAAAAAATCGTAACGTTCAACCAGCATTCCTAACGGGTTACCTTTAGGTTATATTTGTGACTAGGTTATGTGAGCCATACATGGTGGCTCAGCAGTGCACGTCGCCGTGAACCCAGTAAAGTACCTCGTCTGTGTCGAGGCGATCAAAGGAGCAGACCACAATACTGTCCCGACCTGTGACGAAGTCGTCTATCGGCGAGTCAATGGGCAACCCGCTCGCCGATATATGTGGTATTGGTGGCGGGGTGGTGGTAGTAATATTAGAAAACAGAGTCAATCTATTAGCCCTTAATACCACTGTATGAAGTATTGACTCTCAAATGACTTTTTTTTAAATTGATACTGGCAGCATCCACCAGGCTCTGTCGATGGTGACTCTGGGAGCTCGTGGAGATACTGCCGCCGAACTCTCGCGAGTGCTGGGCCTTAGTCAAATCCCATCGCGACCTAACCAGCCACAGGCGTCCTACCTGGAAGTTATCCAGCAGGTACTACTACACTCTTCGTGCCCGTTAAAAAGTTTCTTGAACAAGTAACAGTTTGTTTGATCGTATCGTATATCATGTATGTAGCCTGGAGTTTACAACTATATTTTTTAATCTAGTTTACAACTCTGCTTACAACTTTATTTACAACTCTAGTTTACATCTTTACGCTACTTTAAATCTAAATCTATTCTAGAGCTTTAACTCTATTCTAAATCTACTCTAGTTTACAACTTGGCTTACAACTCTAGTCAGACGTCACCAGGAGCTAGGATCTATAGATCGTTTCTCCGCGAATGTAGGTCTGATCATCTTCTTCTTCTTCGCGTTCACCAGCTGTACACACTGGCGGAAAGTTCTGGTTGCTCGTCTACTACTGAACTGCAGTCCTGCTCCAGAACCTGAGTGTTGCGTGTGCATCAGTTTTACAGATCTCATTCTCTTGAATACAGACTGTTGGTTCCTTGCCTATCCAGCAGATGCACTCCGACTTCAAAGGAAGCTCCCCAATTAGTCGACTCTTACGACATGCTTTTGGGAAGGCAGTGGGTCTATTCTTGTTTTCCCCACAATGGGGCCCCGGAACCCACACGGGGGTAGGTCGGATCTGATCAGCAGACAAGCTATTAAGCAGCGACAGGACGTCAGGGTATGGAAACACATTTGTGTCATAAATGACCGGAAGTAGACCAGGAGAGGCTGAGACATGATCGCCAACTCCTCAGGTAACAAGCTCAAGGCCAAGAAGAAAAAGGTGACAAGATCCAGAGGTTGCATTTCTTTGCACATGGTTTCTATCCCATACGGTTCTGTGTTTCTCTGGCTAAAGGTTGAGAGTCGCACAAAACACGAACGCTGTAGCACTGTCAACGATGCCTTTGTGAACAGAACAAGACAGCAATGACACAAACCCAGGACTTTCTGAGCATGAGGGAAATAGACTGACCACTTCGCCACAGGGAACCCCTTCATGACGACGAGAAGAAAAAGTCAACAAGGACGGATTAGAAGGTTTACAAGAAGTAGAATTAGGAGCAACGGCGGCAGCAACAGAAGAAGAAGAAGAAGAAGAAGAAAAAGAAGAAGAAGAAGAAGAAGAAGAAGAAGAAGAAGAAGAAGAAGAAGAAGAAGAAGAAGAAGAAGAAGAAGAAGAAGAAGAAGAAGAAGAAGAAGAAGAAGAAGAAGAAGAAGAAGAAGAAGAAGAAGAAGAAGAAGAAGAAAAAGAAGAAGAAGAAGAAGAAGAAAAAGAAGAAAAAGAAGAAGAAGAAGAAAGAAGAAGAAGAAGAAGAAGAAGAAGAAGAAGAAGAAGAAGAAGAAGAAGAAGAAGAAGAAGAAGAAGAAGAAGAAGAAGAAGAAGAGAAGGATAGGAAACTGGAGAAGGAGGGAGGAGAACGACAAGAAAAAGTAGACGACAACGAGGGTGAAGAAATATTGCCCCTTGTCTTTAAATATCTTTGGACCGCAAGATTTCGTACTGAATGTGTTTGTATCAGCACGTCTGTGGACGCTACCCATCTTCACTCCCCAGCTACGCCAAGTCCCGCATGTGGAGATCCTCACCGTCAACGCCATCTTTGTGAACCCGTCAACAGAAATCAAAGCTGACTTCACCAACAACGTGACCAAGTTCTACCAGGCTGAGGTGTCTAGCTTCGACCTGATTTCTCCCGGAGGTCCTGAGAGGCACATCAACAGATTCGTTTACAGCAAGACGAAGGGTCTCATTAAAACAGTGCTCACGCCAGGTCGGGAGTAACCGTTGCCTAGTCTTAGTCACGTCTTAGCATCAGCGCCATCATCGTCATTGTCCTCATTATCGTTGTCCTCATCATCATTATCACCACCATCGTCATCAGCATCGTCATCATCAACACAGTCGTTAAAAATGTTCCGTTGCCACAAACGTGTTACAGTAGTTTTCCTTCTCTATAACTTTCAATTACTGCATGTTCTATTTTGTTGGGATACACAATTATTAAACAAAGATCAAACACATTGGCCGCTATAAGAAAACACCAGCACCTCTGCAATTGTAAATTACAAAATCATAAGCCCCTGGGAAATCTAAGCCCAACTGCAAAAATCCGTGCACATTCGTACAGAAGTTTTAGAGAAATGTGTTTTAGTGTTGATCCGTACAGGAGTTGTGAGAGACATTTGTTACAGTGTTGATCCGTACAGGAGTTGTGGAGACATTTGTTACAGTGTTGATCCGTACAGGAGTTGGGGAGACATCTGGTATGGTGTTGATCCTTATAGGAATTTTGGAGACATTTGTTACAGTTTTGATCTGTACAGGAATTGTGGAGACATTTGTTACAGTTTTGTTCTGTACATGAATTTTGGAGACATTTGTTACAGTTTTGATCTGTACAGGAATTTTGGAGACATTTGTTACAGTTTTGATCCTTACATGAATTTTGGAGACATTTGTTACAGTGTTGGTCCTTACAGGAATTTTGGAGACATTTGTTACAGTGTTGGTCCTTACAGGAATTTTGGAGACATTTGTTACGGTGTGGGAGCACGAGTTTTGGAACGCACTAAAAGTGAAGTCAGTCAAAGGAAAGGATCCTTACCCACTCCTTCAGGCCTATTGGGCATGTAGGGCTAGACCTATATTTTATAGACGATTCGGCACTTGGTGGGTGTTGTGGTCGGCATTACAACGGAACCAACCAGCCAGCTAGTTGAACCGATCAAGATGCTGGAGATAGAAGCTAGTCTAACCAAGCATATCAGATAAGTGGAAGTCATCACAACGGAACCAACCGCAGCAGATGAACAGATCAAGGCGCTCGAGAGAGAAGCTAGTCTAGCCAAGCATATCAGATAAGTGGGAGTCATTACAACGGAACCAACCAGCCAGCCAGATGCCCGAAGTCAGCAGCCTGATGCAGATGACATCACTGTGAATTCAACAGCAGACGACACCGCATTCCCGGCAACCATATGATCCGACAGACAAGCATGAGACAGGTTATATTTGTGCCCTCTGTTGATAATAACCGAAGATTATGAAGAACCCACTGGGGAAGCGATCTGTGGCCAAGTTTAAAAAAAAACAACAGCCATGGAATGGTCGCCACATTCAACAAGACTGTGAAAACAAGCAGCCTATTCCACTAAACAAAGAAAGACAGCAAGAAAGAATTACAGCTGTCGCGGAAGATGGTTATTATCGCTTCCATGTTTCACAGTGTCCTACGATGTGTTGTCAAACGCATGAAGCTGCAGTCAACCAACCATGAACAAATACATGATTAGCTAAAGAATGAACATTCAGCACTAACAATCATCAAGGTTAAAAGACTCGGTTCAAGACAAAACCCGGTGAATGTGGTTGTGGTGTTCACTTAAAGCAATGATATACCCGACAGAGTGATGGTAGACTAGAAGATACAGAGAGCTGAGCAGTACATACCGCCTGTACTGCAGTGTTCCAAATGTCACAAGGCCTGCCATTCCAGATCAACGTGCCCCAGTGAACAGGTTACTTGTCAATGCTGTGCAGAGCCCCAAATTTTTAGAGAATGTTCTGTGACCAAAAGGATGAGTTCTTTCGAAAGCTCAATTCAGATAGGAAGCATGCCAACTGCTCCGGTCTGCATGGGCCCAGATATCTGGGCTGCCCGTACCTACAAAAGTGTAGGGAGACGATCAAAACAGCCATCGGGGAACATATACCCTATAGAGAAGCGCAAAGGAGACACGAAGCAGTAAAGAGAAGCTCATCCGTGAATACAATACAACTTCAAGTGGATACAATACAACTTCACGTGGATACAATCCAACTTCAAAGCCATATTACAAAACTGGAAAGTAAAATAACAAACCTTCCAAAAAGACAAATATACGGGCGACATACAGCATGCACAGAAACGCAAGGAGATGCAGGAGATAAGGGAAATCGTGAAGACCACGCTAGAAATCAAAAGTCAGCTCTTGAGAGAGGTGGCTTCAAAAGAGGATTTTAAATAGAAATAGTGGCTCTGCTGAATGATATCAAGAATCAACGAGACCAACGAAGAATTTTCAACATCGTGGAGTTGGAACCTCCCACCAAACCGGACAGAAAAACAAAAGAAACTCAAACCCAAAAGCCAAATCCAAGGCCAGGCGAGAGAGCCAGACCAGTTGTACCAAAGACAACCATTGAGAAGCTGGTGAAGCGATCAAAACGAGACAAATGGCAGGAGGAGCCACGACGACTAGCAGCGTACAGATTATATCAAAAGGCGATTATCTAAGGGCATTACACAAGAAAACACCTGGTCCCGAAGAAAACATTCCATACAAACAACAGAATGACCGTCTGGAACATCTCGTAAAGCAATATAGACGAAGACGTCAGACCGGCAACGTTGATGAAGCTTGGTCAAGATCGCAGCAGACTAAGGACCTTATTGCCGAACAACAGTAACAACAGCTACTAAAACAACACGAACAACTGGTACAACAATATCGCCACGACTAGCTCAGAAGATATCTCAGTCCATCGCAGTAACACAACCAACGGATGGCACATTAGAGATCACGTGACCTCTATATATATATTTAAAGCTGCACAAAAAGAAGGACACGACCTGGCCAGCCAGATAGACACGGAAGTCATAAAAAAAGCACAAAACACTACGTAATGAAATAGCAACATAATTTGTTGCCATAATTATAACAGATATTGAGAAGGACGAGACTAGCTCCCTACTCAGAGGTTACACGGTGCTAATTCAAATGGAAACATAAAAAACCAGGCGTGTAGATCCAGGGAAGGGACGTCAAGTGCGATTTGTAAATGCTTTCTACCCATTCAGAGCGCATATTGCCGGTTGCAGCATATTAATGAAGTCTACAATTACTGCATTTTTGGCTGTTTACTCGGATGACCATTTTAGTGCTCTAGAAGCAGTGGCTATCTCCATGCTCACGCTTGACGTAGTTGTCTGGGGAGCGCTGCTGTCCTCTTGTATAGTTTTCACCAAAGTTTGTGTTCCCAGTACTTGTGTCTGGCATCAAGGCCATTAAACAAAAGTCTAGCTCCCTCAGAACCTGATCCGCCGACCTCCCAATGTGAGCGTTACAGCTACACCACCACGACTTCCAGAAACAAACTATAGCGTCTGTCAAGTGGCTTCCTGGAGGGGGCACTGGTCTGTGGTCAGCTGGCTCACTGAGCTGGACAAACACTGGGAGGCAAGCGACCCTACAACTATTTTAGCTGTCTCTCAGCGTAAGAGACATTGGCTGACACACTCTTGTCCGACACTTCTGTTGTTTCCCATGTATGAACTGTCCAATGACACGGCTCTGATGACTTATCGCAGGGGTCATTGACGCCTCGACTCTCATGCTACTGGTCAACACGCTCTACTTCAAAGGCACCTGGCTGAAGCAGTTCTCCGAGAGCCACACCCACAAAGCGGATTTCCATGCTCCTCAAGGAACGATCCAGGTAGGTAGGTAGGTAGGCAGGCAGGTAGGCAGGTAGGTAGTTAGGCAGGCAGGCAGGCAGGTAGGTAGGTAGGTAGGTAGGTAGGCAGGCAGGCAGGCAGGCAGGTAGGCAGGCGGGCAGGTAGGTAAGCAGGTCATTGTTTATGAACAGAAGCCACGCCCTGGCAGTGAAACCCTACCAAAAGAGGTTGGTCTCTCAACAGGTCTGGAAGTGTTTGGCCGCTGACAGCCAACGTGGCACTCTCCTGTAAAGTCAACGACTTTCACAGAATCGATGGGCAGGTAGTAGCAGACCCAGCCAGTGCTCCCTGGTGTGAGTTTTTTTTTTTTGGGGGGGGGGGGGGGGGGCTATATTTTAGAAAACAACAATAGACCCACCGCCTACCCAAAAGCATGTCGTATGAGTAGATTAAATGGGAGCTTCCGTTAATGTCAGATTGCTTCTGTTTGAGAGGCAAGGAACTAACAGTCTACATAAAAAAAAAGATTCAGATCATTGAAACGGATGTACAAGCAACACTCAGGTTCTGAAACAGTCCAGAAGGTGGATGAATAACCGCAACACTTAGGTTCTGAAACAGTCTAGAAGGTGGACGAACAACCAGAACTTTCTGCCAGAGTTTACAGCTGGTGAACGGCAAGAAGAAGTCAGTGCTTTATGCTCTGCCAGTCTAGGGTAGGGTGGAGGGTGGTATATAGGAAAGGTTGGGGTAAGGAGGGGGGGGGGATTAAAGAAAAAGTTTGTGAGTGGGGTTTATAGGAGCAGTTAGCGGTGGGGGGGGGGGGGGGGGTGGGGAGGATGTATAGGAACAGTTCATAGGAACAGTTGACACTAAACATTTCCACATCACTAATCTAACACTAAACGGTTCCACATCACTAATCTAACACTAAACAGTTCCACATTACTAATCTGACACTAAACAGTTCCACATCACTAATCTGACACTAAACGGTTCCACATCACTAATCTGACACTAAACAGTTCCACATCACTAATCTGACACTAAACAGTTCCACATTACTAATCTGACACTAAACAGTTCAACATCACTAATCTGACACTAAACGGTTCCACATCACCAATCTGACACTAAACAGTTCCACATCACCAATCTGACACTAGACAGCTCCACATCACCAATCTGACACTAAACAGTTCCACATCACCAATCTGACACTAGACAGTTCCACATCACTAATCTGACACTAGACAGTTCCACATCACCAATCTGACACTAGACAGTTCCACATCACCAATCTGACACTAAACAGTTCCACATCACTAATCTGACACTAAACAGT